TCGAATGCGGTATACAAGTTGGAGTGAATGGTTGTAAGGGGTTAGTTGGCAGCGGTTAGGGCGAGGGCTATTCTGTTACGTGAAGAATTGAGTCCAAATAAAAGTATTGAAGATAACAACGAATCGTTTCCTGAGTTGACCCAAACCCGGACGCAACAGTTGTATATCTTTTAGTCTGGGCGATCTCTTTTAGCTTTTGGCGAACTAATTTAGAATTGGGCGAACTCTTTTAGCGTTTGGCGAACTGGTTTAGCATTGGGCGAACTCTTATAGAATTAAGCGAACGTGAAAAAAATCCCTCACAAACCTGACGGTTCACCGTGCGGGTGAAGTCGTACACACATATACGTACACATGTTCTCACCAATGCTACAAGTTGGTAAAATTAAATATTTGTAAGCAACTAAATACACTTAGAAAATTAAATGAGCGACCCAGGCTTTTATTTTTTATTATTTTTTTTTTGCCTCAGACATGTAATTTACAGCGTCAGTTTGCCTTGCCATGTTCGCTTTAGTATTACAGTTTTCATCTTCGGCTGTAATAGTACTTTCACACATTGAATATGGTTTACTTATACATAGATTAAATCCTTTTTTTTCTCTAGCTACAAAATTGTATTCGTTAATAACATTAAGGGTTTATTTTCTCGTAAATTCAGCACAAGGAACATGTGGCACTAGTCACTAGGGTGTGCAGTCTGTGAGTTGAGTCCTCACCTTCATTGCGCATGCGTGCAAGACGAACACTTAACCAGTGAGGAACATGTCTAATGCCATGGGACCAGATGTGCTCGTTCAGACGAATATCAATACTTTTTTACATTTTTTTAATATCAATACACACACACGCACACACACACACGCACACACACACATACACACGCGCACACACACACACACACACACACACACACACACATATATAATATATATATATATATATATATAATATATATATATATATATATATATATATATATATATATATATATATATATATATATATATATATATATATATATATATATATATATATAATACATTTATTTCAACATCTCATAAACTTGCATTCAAATAACATTTAATTTAATTAATCATCAACTGTTTCTGTTCATGCCCAAGACACATAGTAGATGAAGTAGAGCTCATCTGTTTCAATGACCTCGACAAAAGGGGGATAGTGTGGTCAACACTATGCCCAGCAGCCTTAATTTCCTTAACGTGAATCAGGTACTCATAAGAGCTGAGTGAACTCAGGGGTGTCGACTCAAGTCCAGAATCTAAACGAGGCTTTCAGTCATGAGCTCTACCATTTGACCACACCAGCACTACTAAACACCTGAATGAAAGTCAATAACTTAATACCAGACATTTTTGGTTCATTGAGAAAACAGTAGAATGTATAGTTTTGAATTTTAAAACTTTATGCCATTTATGGGGATGCTAAAAAAATAACAGCTTTGATTTTAAAGTATTGTTACTTTTGTTTGGTGATAGAAGTTTTTTTATATAAGAAAAAAGGCTCAACTACACTAGTAGTACTCATGGTGAAAGGCCCTACATATTTTTTTAATTTTTTTTTTTATTAATTCAATTGTTTTAAACATTTAAATCAGTAATATTAATTTATTTGATAGTTTTACATAGCATCAAAAACATGAACGTCAATTGCACATATAATAATCAAGGGGAGAAAATAAATTGGCATAAGAACTAGACTACTAGACTAAAGTAAGGTGATTTAACTCGGTTTCTCTATAATTTTTTTTTTTGTTTGTAATAGTTTCATGCGTTTCATGCAGGCAAGTACAAAATTCAGGAACAATTAAAATCCCCTTTATCAACTATTGCATTGATATTTTTTCTTATATTTTCATTACTAAACTTGTACGGCTAAGGTGTTTTAAAACTCGAAATTCATTAATTTAAACAAAAATAGAAAAAAAAAAACAAAGAGATTAAGTTGCTAAAAAAAACAACTTATAAAAATAGACTAATGAAAGTAATGAAAGAAATTTAAGTGCAACTTTATGTATATTTATTTTAAAATCTATGATGACATAACATTCATAATTTTGTTTATTTCGCTTAACTCCCCTGTCAAATACCGCGTTTTCACTTGCGACATGTATTCTATACATTTCTAGAAAAAAAAAACTTCGCTATAGGGTCTAATTTAATAGGGGAGCCTACCCACTTATTGCGAAGTTTTTTTTTCTAACCATGTATAGTATACATGTCGCAAGTGTAAACGCGGTATAAGTGTAAGGTAACTCGTACATTGAAAGATAATCTCGTTTTTCGTCGTTGTTCAAAATAATAATAATTTCTCTTTCAGCCTAGTAGTCTAATGTCATAGAGAGAGCTTCATACTGGACCTTATTTTTAAAGTATCTTTTTAAAGACACAATTTTAAAGATATCTTTACCCTATCATAGTTTCTTTGAGGCATCTCTTTGGAGGGGGGGGGGGAGGAGAAAGTCTACCCCCCCCTCCCCCGAATGAAATGGAATTTATATAGAAAACATATCCTTTTATCAGTGTTCGCCCCCTCCCCCCACCCAGGAAAATGTAGTCCGCCCCCCCCCCCCCTCCGAAAATATCAACTACCCCCCCCCCCCCCCCCCCCCCCCGCGCCCCGGAGAAAAAAGTCTGGAACAAACACTGTTCTCCATAAATAGCTTTTTTTTTCTCGCAATAATCGCATCTTCCCCGATTGATCTGTGTAAAAGTTAAACGCGTTCACATTTTAAAGTGAATATTAATCCCCCCCCCTACCCCCCTCCACCCCCATACCCTTACCGTCATCCATATGTAGTGTTAAGATATTATTTACCAACTCGCGGCAACAATCTACCAACATATTTTGACGACAGTGAAAACAAAACGGACACAGGGCGCGCTGTCATCGTTCTCTTGTGACGTAGCGCCTAGCACCAAAGGGCACTAACCGTGATGGATATTATGGCGTGTAATCTTCCAATCATACAAATGGTGCCGAATGCTGCCGGTTATAGAACGCTTCACACTTCTGCGACCGGTCGCTCAGATTTGGGTCATTCGTGACGTCATATACATGGTAATTATATTTCCAAATTTAGTAGAAATCTAAATTTAAACAAAATTGTATTCCTTGATAATAAGATGTAATTAAAAGAAATTCTAGATCTAAGAGTAATGTAACATCATGATTTGGTAGATAAACATACCGAAATCATGCATATTGGGAAGGCTTTGTATAGTGTTGCTAAATTGCTTGTCAGATCGGTAATTTAGTCGGATAGTGTTAATATTATGCCTGTCTGTGAATTCATCATGGCGGAAAGTTTTGCTATCATGCCGGCAGTCTTGTCATCTTTGCCGGAAAAGTTTGCTAGCATGCCGGCAGTCCTGTCGTCTTTGCCGGAAAGTTTTACTATCATGCCGGCAGTGGGTTCAACGTGAAGGGTAGTGTTTTTATCATGTTAAGTTATTGGTAGGCGTGGTTTGGTGGTAGAGCGATAGATTACTAATCCGAAAGTCTCGAGTTCGGATCTCAGTCCAGACTTGTGTCTGCAGGACTTCCTTGAGTACACCCAGATCTAACTTGGTACCTGAATCAAGTTAGAGAGGGTAAAAGCGGTTGGGCTTCATCTGCCCATTTTTTTATTTATGTAGGCCACTATGTGCTCATAATCCGGGCCACCCAGGTTACATTACCACAAAAGTTGAAGTTGGCCATTAAGTATAAATCTGATATTAGCCACTGTCGAGGTCACTGAAACAGGTGAACTCTACTTCACCTGCCCCATGGACCGTTAGGTTAGAAAAGGAACTTTACTATTACTCTGGTGCTACAATATTCATCACTCGTACATGACCAAACCAAAACTTGACTTAACTTTTTTTTAACAGAACATGTAACAAATAACACAACATAATAAAGTAATAAAGAGAAGAGTCGATGACGAAAATCGTTACTAGATCTATATTTTTCCGACTCATATTATTATTGTTTAAGCGAAAACGTGCCAAAATATGAAAGTAAAGAACCGAAATGAAAAAAAAGACGCTTTGAGTCAGTCGTAACTATTTTCTTCAACCAAGGGATTGAACTCTTCCTTGTTTACACGAACAGAACAGCGCCTTACTTAAGGGAGGTTACTCTCGGTAATTTTTTACTGTTTGTATTTAGACAAGACAAGGGATTGTTACAATTAACTGTACAAAACTTTCAATTCGCGTCTATTCATTTTAATTATTAACTGACCAAACCTCATAATGTAGCAGCGTTTTGTTCAAAAACCACATTTCAGGAGTGAGTTTTTATGCTTGTCATGTTTCTCTCCACTAGAATGGTCTCCCCCTTGTCTCGAAATATCCCCTTCAAGGGGCAAGCAACTCTGGTGGAAAAACAAAGCGTGATGACCAGTGGTCAGTATAGAAACGGGCCGAGCCCAACAAAAACGTGGAGACCTCGTATTTTGCTAGGGTCTCCTGCATTCTTGGGGCGGCGTTTTAGGGGGATTAGGGTGGATAATCCGCGGTGGGGGTGGTTGTGTATGTATTGTCCGGGCTTCATGACTAGGACCGGTTGAAGCCGGCATGATGGGATGGTCCGGCTCGGGTTGCTCAATCTGTCCGGATGATTGGATCTTGGGAGGGCTTCGGCCAAACGGGAAAAACAACCGGGAGGACATTTTTTTGGTCAGTGGGGGCTTTATTCGGACAGTGGAGTTACTATGCCGGTCAGTTGTGCCGGTTTGTGGTGCCATCATGCCGGTCAGTTGTGCCGGTTAGTTGTGCCGTCATGCCGGTCAGTTGTGCCGTCATGCCGGTCATTTGTGCCGTCATGCCGGTCAGTTGTGCCGGGTTATGGTGCCATCATGCCGGTCAGTTGTACCGTCATGCCGGTCAGTTGTGCCGTCATGCCGGTCAGTTGTGCCATCATGCCGGTCAGTTGTGCCGTCATGCCGGTCAGTTGTGCCGTCATGCCGGTCATTTGTGCCGTCATGCCGGTCAGTTGTGCCGGGTTATGGTGCCATCATGCCGGTCAGTTGTACCGTCATGCCGGTCAGTTGTGCCATCATGCCGGTCAGTTGTGCCATCATGCCGGTCAGTTGTGCCATCATGCCGGTCAGTTGTGCCATCATGCCGGTCAGTTGTGCCATCATGCCGGTCAGTTGTGCCATCATGCCGGTCAGTTGTGCCATCATGCCGGTCAGTTGTACCGTCATGCCGGTCAGTTGTACCGTCATGCCGGTCAGTTGTACCGTCATGCCGGTCAGTTGTGCCATCATGCCGGTCAGTTGTGCCATCATGCCGGTCAGTTGTGCCATCATGCCGGTCATTTGTGCCGGACAGTGGAGCTACCATGCCGGTCAGCTCTGCCGGTCAACAGTGCTTGCATACCGGTCAGTTGTGCCGGCCAGTGGTGTCATCTTGCCGGTCGGTTTTGCCGGTCAGTATCACCATCGTCTTCAAATTCCGGACGGCGTTGTCAAGCGGTAAGGGCACGACTTCACACACGAAACTACTAGCTTGGATCCCGGCCTTGAACCCGAAGGAACGCCCTGAGTCCACCCAGCTCTAATGGGTACCTATCCTCGTTAGGAAAGTAAAATCCACATAGCACCGACCACACTATCCCTTCATTTGCCGTGTCTACATACATAGGCGATATCTACTCCATCTGACCTGTTGATAGTAAACGGCCACATTAAGTTTTTTTTTTCAAACTAATTACGACTTAAAAACCTAACCCTTGATCTAGTTTACTTTAAATTGACTCCAACACACGGTAATGGCGGATCTCTGAAATAACTTGCACAAAACAATGTGAGTACCACAACACAATTTTGCTGGATGCCTGCTAAAACTCAGGCCGTTCAGATTGAGCAGAACAGTTTCCCTTGCCCTAACCTCTGCACCCTGACCCATCAATGTTGTGTGTAGTTATCGTTGGGGGGAAGGGTGGGGGAAAGGGGGGTGGTCATTGATCCTAACCTTTAAACTCTGAAAGATGAATCCCGGCAGAAATTTGTATGAGAAGTGAGAAGATTAAAGTCGTTCTATAAATTATACAAACTAAAATGCTTTTTTTTACAAACGTTTTGGGTTGTGTTTAAAACTGAAAATCACAATGCATCATTACAATTTTGAAATTATTTTTTTTTCAATTTTTATTGCATATATAAAAGTATGACTTTATGGACTTAATTATATGTTAAATTTACAGTGGGACAGCTTGGCCAACCGGGTAGAGCTCTAGACTGCTAACATGAAGTCTCGAGTTCGAATCCGGGTTCAAGTCAGTAGCGTCCCAGATTCCACGCAGCGCTGATAGGTACCGAACACTCGTAATGCTGACCACACTGTCTTTTCATAAGCCAAATGCATTGAATCCAGATGAACTCTACTTTATCCCATCAGAGTCTCTTCCAGACATCTCTTTAGAGGGGGGGGGGGGAGAGAAAGTCTACCGCCCCCCCCCCCCCCCCCGCTCGCCGAATGAAATGGAATTTATATAGAAAACATCCTTTTACCAGTGTTTCCCCCCCCCCCCCCCCAGAAAAATGTAGTCCGCCCCCCCCCCCCCCCCCAACTCCGAACGGGAAAAGATAATGATGATTTTAAAATTATTATCCTAAAACCAGTCACTACTTCTATTACTCTGATCAGATGTTTTATACACACAAACGGCGTGGAATTAAGAACAGCAAAACTTTAACACAGTTGTCGAGAAATGCCATGTTAATAAACCTCAAGGGGTCAATGCAATCCACATCTTCAAATTGCAATTGCTTGATTTTTGAGTCGTCCGTTAGTAGGAGTTATAACAACTGTATCCTTCTATTGTGTAATCCTTTTATTTCTTTAAGTAATACTAACAGTGACGATGTCGCCTTTAGAATGTCATCCGTATGACCCGTCGGCATTTAGGATGTCGGTATTTTTTTTTTTTTTTTTTTTTTTTTTTTTTTTTTTTTTTTGCAATTGGACTTTTTTACGTGTCGGCCTTTGGTGCATGTCGGCATTTCTAGAATACGCTAAGGTCATGATTAAAAAAACCAAACTGCCGTTTCCTTGGTTCCAGAACGTTCTGCTCTCCCCATAACGTCTATCTAAATACCTCCATACAAATGTGCACCAACAAGAAATATTTGATTACATTGTAATAATAGCTCGCCGACCCGGACTACTGAACCGTGACGGGCTTATAGATCCACCCAGATAATAATTACATCACTCAGACTCTTATGTCATCAATAATTCACCAACGCCGGAGATTCAGATTTACAAAACTTTCTTTATTCGCATACCCTTTGATTTCTTTCACAGGGTACATTCTTTACTAATGTAGCGGTAATTCCCGTTTCGTACCGTTTTCGTACTTGAGGCTCTGTCAGGGAAACTCAGAAACGGCGGTAACATGGTTTACTAAGGGGGGGATGGGGTGGGTGGGCGGGTGGGATTTCATCTGGGTACCTACAGAAATAAGTGATTGAGGCGGGCACATTCCAAACAGCTGTGCTTTCACAGTATGCACCGGAAACTCTAATATATAGAAACTACGAGATATTTTTTTAAGATCTTTTGATCACAGTGGTCACGATATATATATATATATATATATATATATATATATATATATATATATATATATATATATATATATATATATATATATATATATATATATATATATATATATAATGCCGCACATCAGGTTGATATACAACCACATGCCAGTCGACCACTTACCATGTACCACACACCACATGCCATTCAACGAATGTTCCATACAACCACACAACTACACAACCACACAACCACACTCTACAAACCATGATAACATGTATCACAACCACATGCCACACAACTATACTCCACCCACCCACATACCACACACAGCCACATGCCACACAGCTAAATGCCACTAACAACTGGTATAAAAACACCCTAATTGGGTCGTTACAGTCGTTTGCTAATCATACCCACTAAGTTATTTAACTGCAACAAGAAAATAACAGACATTTTGACTACATCTACACTTCAATATGTCATGAAAAAGCAGACATTCAAACTAGACTTCAAAATGTCAAAAAAAGTAGAAATTTAAACTAGACTTTATTAATAAAATATGCCAAGAAAACGCAGACATTCAAGCTAGACTTCAAAATGTCAAAAAAAAAAGTAGAAATTTAAACTAGACTTTATTAATAAAATATGCCAAGAAAAAGCAGACATTCAAACTAGACTTCAAATTGTCAAAAAAAAGTAGAAATTTAAACTAGACTTTATTAATAAAATATGCCAAGAAAAAGCAGACATTCAAACTAGACTTCAAAATGTAAAAAAAAGTAGAAATTTAAAGTAGACTTTAATAATAAAATATGCCAAGAAAAAGCAGACGTTCAAACTAGACTTCAACAAATAAAATATGCCAAGAAAAAGCATTCAAACTAGACTTCAGCATGCCAAGAAATAGCAGACTTCGAAATCTCAAGACAAACCGGACCTCTAGACTACAATACCCTCAGAAATGAAAACAGCCGGCTAATCTGCTAATGCAAAAATGTATTAGTTTTGAATTGTGCCGGCACCTCCATACCCTGAGGCCGCCAGGATTAAGTCTTGTGGTTCTTGAAGATCGGCATGTTTGTTCCAATTTGGAGGATTGGTTATTGTTTCGGTGTCGCAGCAGAATTAGCTGCCCAGAACAAAATAGCGTAGTGGTCCGGTGTTACATTAAAATAAACCTCTCAGTATAGCGGTCCGGTGTTACATTAAAATAAACCTCCCAGTATATTGGTCCGGTGTCATATTAAAATAAACCTCTCAGTATAGCGGTCCGGTGTCACATTAAAAGAAACCTCCCAGTATATTGGTCCGGTGTCATATTAAAATAAACCTCTCAGTATATTGGTCCGGTGTTACATTAAAATAAACCTCCAAGTATAATGTTCCGGTGTCACATTAAAATAAACCTCCTAGTATAGTGGTCCGGTGTTACACTAAAAAAAAACTCCCAGTTCATTGGTCTGGTGTCATTTCAAAATAAACCTCTTAGTATAGTGGACCGGTGTCACATTAAAATAAACCTCCTAGTATAGTGTTCCGGTGTCACATTAAAATAGATCCCCCAGTATAATGGACCGTTGTCACACTGCATGTGTACATTTTTGTTACGTAATACAAAGAGTGCTGGGATGGTAGAGTTTAGGATACCAACACGTAAGTCCCGAGTTCGGATCTGGGGTTCTAGACATTCGAACTTCTGAGTCCTACCTGTTCTGAAGTGTACCTGACTCACGTTAGAGATAATTAAAGGCGGCTGGGCTTAGTGCTGACCACACTATCTCTTTTACCGCTGAGTAATTGAAACAGATGAACTCTACTTCATCTGCCCCATTTATCTACTTAAAAACCTTAGAACATATGGCATAAGCATAGTATATATCGTGAGGGGCCGATATCATTTTATTACAAGCTGGAATAAAACATCAGCTAATGTCAATGGAAGATAAAATGTATGTTATAGACCTATATCAGTCAAAACTTGTAGTTCGACTGTTGAATGGACCACACTGAGCCAAACTCATCAATTAAAAAAAAAAGTAAAACATTTTTTAAAAATTTGGATTCTTTCAGCTGCGCATATTTCTGTATTGTTTGTCAGTGTTTTCAAACAATTTTTGCCCGTGTTTTTCCAAGCGTATTTGTCTAGTTATTAGTAAAAAAAAAAATTACATTGAAAGAATAACTTTCTTTTTTCCAATATCACGGATAAATCACTATTCACCGGGCAATTTAATCTGCTCAATTTTCACTGGTCTTTTGTTCCCCATTCACCGTCTCTCGAAGGTTCTTTCTGTAAGACAAGGCCTGGAGCCAGTTTTTCTTAATTGAGCTTTGGGACTTTAAAAAACGTGGCTTGGCGTCTGGAAGTAAAACCCAGTTCCATTGGATTTTATCAATAATAAAAAAAAAACAAAGAAAATGGGGATTACCGTTGTCTATTTTTAGAATCGGATTTAAGAAACACCCCGAGTCTTTCTTTTCTGCCGCGATCGGGGATAATTAACTAATTGTTTGTATAAGTGTAATTAGCCTAATGAGATATTGATAGTTTTAATACATTTTTTGTGAACAAAAGAGGAATTGAATTGGAGTTGTTTAGAATAAATATTTAAAAAATAATAATTTTAGTTTTGTTTAATTCAGGACGTGGAATAACAAAAAAACGCGTTTATTTACATCCCGAAGGTTCAGGTTCGATTCCAGGTCTTAACCCTAGATCCTGATTAAGCTATTCTGCCATGACGTCGTATTTATGTTCCAATCTATACGAAGTATACATAGATGGTTTTGCC